GGGGGGTTGGGGCTTGTTATCCTCGACTGCACTCAGATAAGGGAGGAGAATAAACGACTCGCACTCCGTCTGAAGGATATACTCTTGACAGAGCAAGATTTCACGAGAGAGCGAAGCTGGGAGCTGGAACTGCTTGACCTAGAAAAGATCCATCTCGAGCATTACCCACTGACATCCTTGTATGTCAGACCATGGCGTGCGGTACGTCGCAGAAAGCAGGGAAACGTGGGGAAATGGGCAATCAGGTTCAAAGGCGTATAAAAAGAGGGCATGGCTTCCCGTACAGTCTATCGGTGCTCTAGCTGGGGGTTTTCAGGACGAGCTGATCATTACGGCCACGGAACGTCCGGCTGACGGCATCCTTGGTCGACTACTGGTGATAGACAAAGAGGGGAATTCGTTCCAAATAGTGCTGAAAAGGTCCCGAGGACTCGTTTGCGTGGACATCCACAACAATCTCCAAGTGCATAATACACCATCTCAGAATCTAGAACAGCAGGAATACGAGCGAGATCGAATCGTGAGTATCCTTGACAATGGTAGTGCATCTATGGAGCAATTGATACGCGAACTTTCATACTCCATAAATGAAAAGCATATTATGGATGTTGTGGAAATAGAGCACCTTGCCAATTCTGCGCAGGGATGGCTTCGGCAAGTGGCAGTACTCGAGGGATATATCGAAGAAAAACCCTTACTGTCGTATGCGACAATACGAGGATCTGAAGCGGTCATAAAACTGCTTTACGAGGCAAAGAAATATGCGATCGATCTAAGAACCGAGAGTGGATTGACATCTCTGGTATTAGCTGTCGAGAAAGGCCATGAGGCGGTGGTTAAGTTGCTGCTGGAGAAGAATGCCGATTTAGAAAGCAAATCCAGGTTTGACTGGCCACTGACATACGCTGCCTGGATCGGAAATGAGGCGGCAGTTCAGCTGCTGCTTGAAAGAGGCGCTGGCATAGAGGTTTGACTTGCAATGGTCAGACATCACTGTCATTAGCAGGCCAGAAGGGAGATCAAGAAGTCAAGCTGCTGCTCTGGAACGGAGCTGATATCGAGCCTATCCATCCACAGCACAATATTGATCTCTTTTGTTCCTCATGTTTAGTATTTTATCGTTTAATCACTGAATGAGATAGCTTTAGGCACCGTGTGAGAGGATGGCAATACTCCTCGTGGGTGTGTAGATAGCTGGGCAGGGCCAATCCGGTGCGCCGGTGTCCCTACTATTTCGATGTATGCAAATATGCCAGTCAACGGGCCCATTTTAAAAGTACCTATGTTAAGGACGTTGCTGAAGCCGAACATTGACCATTTATATACATGATGGAGATCTTTTCGGAATGAGGTCTGGATAGAGCGGGGAGCGGGTTGAAGAGGGCGTGCATTTATTGTCCGAAGGGGTTTGGGGCACGCACTTCTGCCTCTTTCCCGCACCCCCAGTGCTTTGATTGACATCAAACCATAACCATCACGGTTTCTATCATGAAACGCTGCCCCAGAATAGCTGCACCGGTTCATTTCAGGTGCTCATCATCTATTCTCCCTCAGCTGTCAATCTTACCGTCAAGCTCGCCGCGCTCAAGTTGTCGTCTATGGAAGCTTAACTTGAGGTTCACACGGCTGACCCTCACCTCATCTTATTCATCCACAGCAGCGTCGCGCGTTGAAGATGCAAGGAGCCGACACGTCGAGTACAATTGGATTGACGGCGCCGAGTCCCTTGAAAAATACAAACCCGGAGGCTATCATCCGGTGATGATTGGAGATATGCTCCACGGACGATACCGCATTGTGGACAAATTAGGTTTTGGAGGTTATTCGACCGTTTGGCTGGCGCGCGATACTCGCCTGGAACAGTATATTGCTGTCAAAGTCTGTATAGCAGACTCAAAGTCGCGCGAGGCCAACATTCTCCGAGCCCTTTCTCCACCATCCCCACATCCGGGGTATAGTTCTATTCCTCTACTATTGGACGAATTCGAGCTGAATGGTCCCAACGGAAACCACTTTTGCTACACAATGACTCCTGCACGGTGTAATCTCAGGGAAGTGTCTTTTAGTCACATATTCCCTCTAGAAGTAGTGCGGGCTCTCGCAGGTCGTCTCACGCTAGCTATTGCCTATATGCATTCACAGGGTTATGTCCATGGAGGTTTGTTACAAGAACATTGGAATTTACTTAATGGTCCAGATATGCCCCCGCTAATATCAATATTGTCCTTTTTATTTAGATATCCATCTTCGCAATATACTAGTCCAGCTTCCATCAAGTTTCGATCACCTTTCGGTTGAGCAGCTATACGAAGAATATGGAGAGCCGGAAACAGTTCCCATTACGCAATGCAATGGGAAACCGCTTGCCCCAAATATCCCAGAAAAAGCAGTATTGCCGCTGTATCTGGGGAAAGATGCGGAGGCATTTTCACTTCCTGACGCACAGGTGCTTCTAAGTGATTTTGGCGAGACATTTAAACCTGACTTGGAACTTCGTCAGGGAAAAGATTGCCATACACCGCCAGCAGGACGACCTCCAGAGGCTTGGTTTGAACCACAGACTTCTTCTCTCTCATATTCAGCAGATATTTGGAGCTTGGCCGTGGCAATTTGGGAGATCCTTGGTATGAAGGCTATTTTCAGCAGTGAATATGCTTCTGTAGATGAGATAATCTCTCAGCAAATTGATGTGTTGGGACCTCTACCTCTCAAGTGGGTTGAGAGTTGGGAAAAGCGAAATCAATATTTCGATGACGATGGTTATCCGAAGAAGGGCCGGTATGTGTGGCCGTCGATCGGCGAAGCATTCGAGGAAGGTGTGCAGAAGTATCGACGAAAGCTTGGAATGGGCGAGTTTGACAGGGAGGAAGCAGCCGCTATTCTAGACCTGATGCGTCGAATGTTAACATTCCGGCCAGAAGAACGGCCAACAGCTCGAGAGGTCCTACAGTCGAGGTGGATGGCCCAATGGGTATTACCAGATTTCGAGCGGAGTTCACAGACGGGGTAGACAAGTCCCTGTCACTATACTTAGAAGTAGTTCTAGAAATTGTAAAACCGGGGGGGGGGGGGGTTGCCGTCGTTCAAACTATACTATAAGACCTTTTATTGTATTGCCTAAGAACACGATATCGGGGATGCTCGTCGGAGGTTATTATTTTGCTCGACCATCCATTAAAGCTTATAGAATGTCAGATAGAATAGAGACGGTCTGTTTGAGAGGTGGGTGTCTTGCTGGACAGCCTACTACTACACGAGGTCCCGGTCAGTCAATAGCAGAAAAACACAGGTCAAAAACCCCGTCTAAACAATACCAACGTTAAGCGTGCGACGGTTTGGCATCATCATCCGTACTCACCCTGAGGGGGACATGCATTGACCTACTGACCGCGCGTAAGCTACACGCCGGCCGGTTAGTAGTTGGGTGGGTGACCAGCATTGAAAACCGGCTGTTGTGTGTTTTTATGTTTTTTTTTTTTTTTTTTCCCTCTCCTTTTTCGTTTCTATATACATCACAGAGATCGTTTAGAATGAGATCTGGGTAGAGCGGGGAGCGGGTTGAAGAGGGCTTGTGGTTATGGGTTTGTTTCCTAGAGTCGGATGGTGGTGTAGATTTCATTATTTAAGATAGGTGGATTTATATTTCTCTTGGTGTTTCGTTTGGGGGTTTTTCTTTTTCCTTGTTGTGTTTGGTGTAGGAGAGAGGAGGCTATACTGAGATAGGGCCATTATGATGTATCCGTAAGTACATACATACGTGATATGCGTTCATTGTAGTAAAACGTGTCAATTAAATCTCAATAGTAGAAGATATTCAAAGCAACAAAACGTCAATAGTCATACAGTTGTCAACCTGAATAGCAAGAGGTAGTAAAATGAAGCATTTCATAGTAAACCAGCTCAAAATGCGCAACAAAGAACATTCGATTTGTCTAATACACCATAAGAAGAGCTGAAAACCCGCGTGAAAGTAACAGACCAATTTCCCGTTAAACCGTTAGAAGAACAAGCAATATGAAAACGAACCCAAGGCGGATCAATGATGGGAAACTTAAGATGGTAAAACATGTGGTACAGAAAAATAACAATTCCTCAATGTCCAGATATCGCCAGGGACAAACCATAAATTATGCAAGTGGGTCAGGAGAATATTCTACTCTTGTCGGCTGCGCTTTGCGCCATGGGGGTTCCATGATCCGTCACCTCCAACCCCTTGGTTAGGAGGGAAGAAGTTTTGATTGAAAGCCGGATTAGGGCCTTGGAAACCGCCTTTACCTAGCAAAACAGCCGTGGTCAGAACGTGTCTACATGGCCGGGTGGGGATTATATCACTCGCAACGAGACATACCTTGCATAGCCATGTTTCCTCCCATGCCGCCCATCATCGGGTTCATACCACCAGACATCGGGTTCATGCCCATACCACCCATCGGGTTCATATTCGGCATACCCATCATGTTGGGACCTCCCATGCCGCCACCTCCACGGCCGCCGCGCATGCCCCCAGGTCCACCTCGCATGCCGCCCATCATACCTCCGCGGTTATTGAAGCCGCCATAGTTTTGCATGCCACCCATCGGGTTTCCGCCGAAACCTCCACCCATCGGGTTTTGGAAGCCCATTGGGTTCTGGAAGTTCCGGTTGTTGAAACCTCCCATGTTATTATTCATGCCACCCCGAGAGTTGAAACCGCCGCGGCCACCACGGAAGCCGCCGCCACCACCACCACCACCACCCATGTTGTTCATTCCGAAGTTCATGTTCTGCGCAGGTGAGTTGAAGCCTCCAGACATTGACCGAGCCTGGTTGTCCTTTCGCATAGGTGCATCCTTCGGGAGTGTGCGGAAAGGGTTTGGTTGGGGGTTGGTATAGTTAACAGAGTACTTCCGTCCTGATGATCCTATTGTACTATAAGATTCGAGTTTGTGTTTGGTGGCAGTTGCGGCCTGAAGCGTAGTAAATTCAACAAAAGCTTGCCTGGTTGCGCAAATTATTTAGCACGCCACACCCCAACAGCTCAGCCATGACTGCTTACCCTTTGCTCTTGCCATTCACCTTGTGTTCGCTGAACGTTACATCCTTAAGTTCATCCTCGCAATCGGCCTCACGGACCCAACCACGGATATCATCATCAGTGGTCCACCAGTACAAATCGGAGATAAGCAGAGCAGGTGTGGCATCCGGGTCCGATGGGCGGTCGTCATGCTCTTTGCGCTTTACACCCTGCGGAGGAGCCGGCGTCTCCGTTGCCGCTTGCTGCTGCGGGTTTGACTGTGTTACATGTTCCCCATTGGGCGCTGTACCTTCAGCATGCCCCTGCTGCGCGTTGGTGTCTGCAGCGCCATCGCCATGGGCAGGACCGCCATTCTGGGGCTGCTCTGGGGCGTCTAGGATGAGCTCGGTGTCATCATGTTTGATATCATCCTCTCCGCCTTGTTCATTAGCGTTATATCCACCACCATCACCATAGATGTCAATATCGAAGTTATCATCTTCAGTAGCCATGGCGTTAAGATATGGATCGGAAGCTCAAGGCAAATTTTTGATTGCTTGGATAGTGAAATATACAGTCCTTTGTTTCTTTTTTTCAGATTCGTTGAATCAATGGAAGTACATGTCTGCAGACATAGACCGTCAATTAGCACGGAAGTTGCCATCGCTTGAGAGTGAAAGGTCGCTGCACGAGTCTCCCAAGCAGTAAGGGAGTAACACTGGGTCATGTTTGTAGCAAATGCCAAAATCCACTTTGCAACTTCTTAAAGCAACAGGGGCGAGTGCAGTATAGACAGACAAAAGGATGAAAAAAGGCTCGAAAATACGTACAATCCGAAGCGACAACAGCTTCAAAAATGAACAAAGTCTTCACCAGTCCGTAAATCTGATAGCTCTGAAACGGAGATACAGAGCGGAACTTTTGTCTCAGGATTCCAAATACAGGTAAGATAAGGATGGCAAGATTTTCTTCAGTGAAAATAGGAGAGGGAAAGAGATCAAGATGGAAATAATTCCACAGGAGATACGGCGCCGAGTGTTAAGTTCTGCTGCCACAGTTCAAGCAGCGAGCGTACTTTTTGCTAGAGAACAAAACTGATATAACTTTCCCAGTAGGAGTACACAGAGAGCAAAGGAAAATTAGCAGAAGAGCGCTGTGAGTTTGAGGTCAGTTGAGCCAGTTCCGCAGAACACTGATGCGAACGGGAAGTACAGAGGGACTTGCGCCCAGTTTGTATCCCCTGAGTCGTAAGCCGTCAGCGCACGGGTTGAGAGGAAAGAGAAAGTGGCGAACGAGGTGCAAGAGAGATGGGGGTGGTGAAATGTTTGAGGTTGAAGAGAAATCGTTGGTAGGCGAACAATCCCTTGGATCAATAAGACGTGTCCGAAGAAGGACGTGCCGAGTGGAGCGCGCAAGAAGAGAAGGGAAGGCGAGAGCTTGCCTTTGGATCTCGAAGGAGCTGCGGTTGTGGAGCTGGACCCGGAACGCGGCTCAACTGTACTTCCGAACCCCGGAAGGCCAACTCTCCTGTTGCGCGCGTGTGGATGATCTGTCGATTATCTCTTGTCCAGATCGCCTCTTTTCGATTCTCCAATTCTCTCTCTTTTCTCTAGACTTTCTTGACTCACTCATACTACTTTTTTTTTTTTATTTCCATTCTCACTCCTTTCTTTCTCTTCTTATCAATCCTCCGTCACAATGTCTGAAACTCTCCAAGAGCTCGCCGACATCCCCAAGGACTTCCTCCGTGAGGGTACCCTCTTCGTCCGCAGATGCACCAAGCGTACGCCACACCACAGTCGCTTTGATATTCTCTGACTTTAAACTGACTCAATGCTATACAGCCGACAAGCGCGAATTCATCAAGATCAGCCAGGCCGTCGGCATGGGCTTCCTTATCATGGTACGAAACCCTCGAATCTATTGCATAAACTCATTGTCCGTGAATAGTGGTTCTAACTACAATACAGGGTGCCATTGGTTACTTCATTAAATTAAGTAAGTCGGTCGCATGTGCAGTTAATCCTTAGGAGGAATACTCAGGCCCCTGGAGATATGACTGCAGGTGATAACCGATCGATAACTAACATCGCTTCCTTAGTACACATTCCCGTCAACAACATCCTTGTCGGTGGCGCATAAGCTATGAGCGACATTAATCAACACTCGATAACCTACTACCTTAACTTGATGTGGGGATGGGATTCTGCATAACGAAAAGGGGGGAGAATCCGTCCATGCTTGTATCCGATACCCGTTACTCTTGCTGCGTTAAAACGAAATATATGGATGGGAAATGGAGGTGTTTGACTCATTGTTCACTTGATGACATGCCGTCAGTGCGTGATGGAGGTGGATGTTGCTGCATGAAACATTGTAGCGATGTCTTTGATTCTGTACAAATAGCGTTTCCTGAACCCTGTTAAGCATTCAGAGAGGATAACTTCAGAGATTTATCTAATTTTGTGATATGGCTGTTGTTGAATGGGAGTCTAATTTCAATCTCATAAATCCCGACTTGAGCTTGGTATACAAAAAAGGCTGCGCTCGCATTCAGTTTCGGCTCCAAACGCAGACCATGCTAATCAAAAAGGAACGTTATTTCGTAGATCACCATATTTCACCCGCGTACTCGTCATCTAGCGTCCGCCGATATACGGGTCGACTTCGGAGGTGATGGACGGTTTCCTTAAACTGGTCGTATTCGCGCACGGATTTCAGCCGGCAATCGTAATTTTTGGAGACCGGTGGAGTCCCCTCGTCCTCGGCAGCGCCGCCATTCCAGGAATGTACTGTGCAGGTGCCCGTGGAGAGGCCCCAGCCATTCCATGACGTCGCTAAAATTATCCTTAGAATGCATGCATCTCCGCGGTTTCACCAGGGCCAGACTTACCAGCTAGTACAGGGGCATTAGGATGCCAGCTTGCGTCTCGGACACACGTTTGCCAGGCTAAGTCGCCAGAGCGGCTGCTAAAATCATACGCACTGTTGGTCATGTCGGGGTCTTGCGGTCGAGTGTCCACTGTCGCTTGACCGACGTCGATTGTTCCGGCAAGGGTTGCATCCAAGTCGTACACATAAACTTTGCCGTCTGCACTTCCCGTGTATACATATCTAGAGTTTGTGCTGTCTGGTGGCGAGAAATGGCATCGTATCAGAGTTTTGAGGACCCGATGGCCTCGGAATGTGACCACGGAGCAATCGTGTGGGTGCGCCTCGTAGTAGTTTTCGGGGTATGGCTCGAACCTGTAGTCGAAGCCGCTAGTGTAATCCTGAGCGTCGATAGTATCGAACTTCGCTGAGGTCATCATTTTTCTCAGGTCCCAGAGTTTCATGTTCTGGTCCTTGCCATTAGAAAGCACATATCGACCATCACCCTTGCTATCGACGTATGTCAGTCCCTCCGTATGTCCGATGAACACGCCGGCTTCACGTCTGTCGCCCATTGAGCGTCTGTCCCACACTCGTAGCGTGCTATCATCGGACCCGGAGTAGAGAATGTGGGGGGAAGACTTGTCACCAAAGCAGACAGCATTCACGTCATCCTCGTGGTTGCGTAGGCGTAGGATTGACTGTCGGGTTTCGAGGTCGTAGACAATAACCGAGTTATCCGATGTGCCTGCTACGACTTCACGGCCGTCACCTGAAAACCGAACCGACCAGATCTATTATATTCACATCAGAACAGCAAGAGAACATGGGACGCGAGAGAAACATACACCAAACTGTCTTCCACTAGAGGATGAGAGGTCCAATACCGAGGGCTCAGAAGAATCAAGCGGATCTGTAGGAGCAAGGCAAACAAGGTTCCGTATGGAAGTATACGCCAAGAATTTGTTGTCTGGACTCAGGGTGGCATCGGTGATAGTCCACTGGCCAAAAGGGTAGTTCACCGTTTTGTAGTACTTCCATTCATACGGGTTAGACGTATCGTACATCCTAACCCTGAAGTCCTGGGAACAGGAGAAGAAAAAGTTACCATCATCGGAGAACTGCCCCGAGTAGCATCTTGAGTCGAAGTGAATGATTTTGTCGGCAACTGAACCAGGTATAAGACCCTATACAGACAGAACGTCAACATCAACCGCATTTGATATTACACGGCCAAACACTCACTTGAGTTATCGACTGTACCTCCTGCCTCGGACCAGACAGATCAATACCTAGTTCTCGCCACATGGTCCTCGTTGCAAGGCTTTTCCTCCTCTTCTTCAATTCATCGGTGTAATAAGAATTGCTTCCAAAGTCGCCAGAAGCCATTAATTTTGCCCCTTCTTCACTAGGTACCGGGGGTTCCGGATCACCCCCACCTCGCCGTACTCGTCTCCTGAATCCAAAGAAGCCCGCAAGCTCATCATCTTCATCTTCATCGTCTTCGTCCATTTGGCCACCAGCCCGACTGTAATGGAGAATATGTCGCAGGCCGTTTGACGCCAGTAAATTCAGTAGCCGGGCGGCGGAAACTGCTAGCAATCGGTAGTGAGAAAATGTAAACCGTAATCAATTAGGATATGGGAAGATAGGCATGGTCGAAATACCTCGGGAGTGTCTGCCACCGGCCTGACCCGCCGCTTCTCCAGACTGTTCCGAATTTCCTTCGTCCATGGAGAATTCAATATGTATATTACCTAAATGTAGTTCAGGGTCTGCATGAGGTTGATCGTCGACAGAGTATTAGCATCTGGGGGTGCAACTGGACATGGCGGAACAACAATACCGAGATAATTTAGATGAACGCCGTAGAAGCCGTCCTCGTCGTCCTCGTCGTTGAAATTATCCTCATCCGGATGGGGTATGTCCTCTGAGTGTTCAGAAATTTCGGCCTCAGGTTCATAGTCCATATCATCTTCCTCATCCTCTTCGAGCCATTCTCTGGCTGGGTGCCATATAGCAGGTGAACCTCTCGACGCCGGACGGTCGCCACTAGCGGGATGGGGGTCGGGGGAACTCATAATTGGGGGAGGCGAGGAGGGGTTAGGGTTGGGCGATGGGTGGCAGGATTGGCCGCAAGGGTCATGTCAAACACTTGATCAGCTTCCAATAGTATGTACGAGGATAGACAACGGGCGTCAATTGACCGGCAGTTTGGCTCCGAATGGGATTGTCTTATCGATACGGTTATGTCATCCCGCGGCAGTCTCCGCTTTTCCTTAACTCCTATCCCCGAGATGCTTATCTACGTCTATCCAGGTTCGGCGGACAAGAAGGTTCACAAAATGTATAAAGCTACCAAAGAAAACCAGAATATTGAAACATGGTATCGTGACTGTCGTAAACATAACCCTTTCCATGATCCACCACACTCCCACAGCTCTAATCCCATCACATCACTGCATCGTGTCGTTGATATCCGTCGATTTGAGTATATACCCGAAATTTTGTACATCACATCAAGAAAATGTCGAAGAAAGGACAGTCAATTCCTATACAGGGCAAAGACCATAGCCATGAAGATTAGCCAGGTCACCACATTCTGTAGCTAGTCAGTATACAGTCCTTCAGACGAGTTAAACTAACTTACCTGAGTTTCCTATATTCAGCAATATGCTGTTCGATCACTGTCGGGCTAACGGGAGTTTCCAGGTAGCTCGCCATAGATCCTACAAACGTCTTGACCTTGGGCCAAATCTCTTCTTCAGCTTTGTACATCGGTGTTGCAAGCATCGTAGACTCAATATTGTCTATCAGCCCTGCAGAAAATATGGAAATCGTTTCCCGGAGCCACTGAGGTAGGAAATTGGGATCGGACGAGTCAAGGTCGCTACCGACCTCAATGAGATCAGTGTCTGTAGACTCTGCAATAGGATTCCTTGGGTCCCTATCTTCCAACTGCTTCGAGACTGGGAGCGTATGGGCGACAGATGCTTGTAATACAAGGATCTCGATGATCACCTGAAGCTTTTTTCGCAATCTAGAGTGCCTCCTGCGCGTCAGCTGGACTTTGGCTGAACTGGGTGCTATCAAAAAATTCGAATGTTGAGAAGACTGTCTGTCTTTGACGACACAGGATGTACGATATATAGTAGATCCTCTGCTACTTTTCAGAGCTGTAGGTTCAACTGCCACATCTATAAGGTCACTGTTAGTACTTATATCGCAATATTTGAAATGGTAGGGATGCATATGCGTACATACCATATAGAGACGAAGCCCCACTTTCATGCGGCCCGACTGAAAAAGTCCTAATTTGAGGGTTGTTGAAAGACATGATTTTCGATTGAATTGTACAAAGGCTTTCGGAAGCCGTCGAAAGGCGTGGGATGACATGCTCAGCAGCAAATGCTAGCGCTGCTGCCTTCTGTGAATCAATATTATACGCAACACTTGTATCTCCAATATTATTCCGTGTGTCGTCTAGAACTTCAGAAAGTTCTATATGAATGCCTTTCAACGAGCCCAAATGCCCAAAATTGTTATACATCTGCGGTGAGCACGGAGCTAGAGTCATCGTTATGAAACGAGATCGGATAACATGGGCCTCCCAGGTACTTAAGAGAGCCCTTGTCGAATTGTTGGAGCCCATGGTTTTGAAGGTAGGCTGCTCGGAGGCCTGAAGCGCATACGCCATGTCGATAGCTTTCATAACTGAGGCCCCCTGACACGACCCTTCGGACGAAGCATCTGTGGCTGCGCGGCTGATTCCAGTTATACATGGACCATCTTTTGGCTTAAAAGCCTGGGACACTTGTTCTAAGGCCCAAACAATCTTTGACGCTGAGCGGTTCCGGTCTGACATGCCATTGCACGCAAAATCATAGTATTGGTCATACTCTTCCAGAACCCTAAGCGCTCCGTGCTGCTGGCTGGCTTTACCAGTGCACAGATGGCATCTATCCCCAGTACCCTTCTGAAGCTTGCATTCAACGCAACTCTTCATTATATGGCCACATGACTTGCATTTATCTGGGGGCAAATTCTGAGGCTCAGATGCAGGGCGTTCTTGAGAGTTCTTGGGAGACAGATCTTTGAACGATGTCCTCAGGGGTGGCATCCTGTCGGTGAAAGATGTTGTTCCAGAAGGGCCCCTCGGATTCTGTGGCTTTCTCCCGCTGTGGTATCTCGAATGATCCACAGGCGGAATAGCCTGTGGGTTCCTTTGTATGGTGGAATCAAGAAGCTGGTGGTGACTCGAAAGACTATTTGGTTTCAGATGGCTTATCCCGCTGGCTTTCCTTCCTGGATGATGAGAAAACAATGCAGGGTCTGGGGAAGCATCATCTCTATCTGGAACCGAGCTAAGGGGGTGCGAGAGTCTCTGCTCAATCATTTGTGCAAAGTTGCTCCCCCTGGAGTAGCTGTTTCCATTGAAATAGGATCCATGTCCAGAGAAGTAATTGTCTCCGTTATTTGGATTGTTCCCACCTCCATTTGGAAACTGGGTCTGAGGTCCATGTCCATCAAACGGGTTTCCGGGAGCCAAATGGCCATTAAATCCATCGCCACCACTCCCACTATCCCCACTGTTTCTTCTGCTTTGAACTCCACTCGTTGCCGGGGAGCTGCCGTTCTGTATGCGGCAATGCTCGGAGACACAGTTGAAGTAAGCCTCCCAGGACTGCACGGACTTCTTGCATAACGGACAATCTCTCGGTATCCTGAGCTTGATACGCTTGATATCGTTCGGTCTGAGCTTGGCTGGTGGTGGGTGTCTCAGCCGAAAATGTCCCCAGACCTTGTCCCTCCGGCAAGTATCCCAGTCACAAAGAGGGCAAAAATGTCTATACCGAGGACGGTGATCAGTGGATACATGTCGGCGGAATGACCCCCTCGTGGCGTACGTTTTCCTTTTGTAAGGTTCGCACAGCTGACAGACATACCTGTCTCGGTTGCTATTGGTGCTGTTAGTACTGTTGGGGGAGTGTATCTCGCAGTCAATCTCGTCTTGGATCATAGTCTCAAGGCAGTTGTAAGTGTCTCTCACAAGAGACTTCATTTCGAACAGTTGAGAGTGTGAAACATTTCTGACGCCACTTTGGACGGTCGATTGGAGCCGGTTCAGGTCAGCTCTAACGTCGTCGAGGGGGTCTGGAGAAGATACGCTCTGTGGACAATGAAGATGAGGGATCTGTGGAACACTTGTGCTGAAAAGACTTTCTGTGGAAGGCACATGTCCAGCGTCCATGGGCAATGTCGGCGATATGTCGTTGGCCGGGTTATCGTACAGGTAGAAATCCGTGTCAGTTTCGGGCAAAGCTGTGCCTCCGGCAAGGAAATCTGCACTGGTGCAGCTATGTGGTGACACCGGTGACGTGGCCGACGACTGGCAGTTGGACTTGGAGTCGATGTCAGTACATCGGCATGGAGATGGAGTAATCATGAGACGGAACGTACTGAGTTGGGATCCATAAAGGGGTTCGGCATCAGATGCCCATTTTCTGATGTGGCATAGTAGCCCGGTGGACCATAACCAACAAATGATAGAGGGTCATGGTATCCATTGGAATACGAGCTGTCCATCTTGACGTAGGTTGGCCAAGGCAACGATATCAGACGGCCAGCAGCTTAAATCTTACTCGACACTATACAAGGGAAAGCGAAGGTACGGGAGGGAGGGAAAGAAACACGAGAACAATCAAAGGAAAGTAAGAGGGTAACAATACGACTAGAGATAATCAAGAAAGAAACCAAAGGGAAGGGAAGGGGCGTCTTTTGAACCAAGAGCAATATCAGTTGGCTGATGCCCCCGGTACTAAAGTACGGTCTGACAGGAGTTACGAAATATGGAGCGAAGAGTTGGAAACCAATGGAACTTTTCACACTGACTCGAATCCAGTCGTCGGAAAGAGAAGAGTAAACAAGTTGCAAAGAAGTAAACAGGCGGCTAGTCGGCAAGTGTGGAATTTATAGTCGAGGTAAGCAAGGTACTGGTACTGGGTGCCCTAGGGCAAAATCAGGTTGCAATGGGATTGTCTATAGTCCTTCCTTGGAGCCAACCACGTCGCCGTATCGGTATGTAACAAGCTTCAGGTAAAGCTGCCAGGGAGGAAGGTATCTCGATGATGAATATTCGAGGGAATTCAAGGACTCGGTCATTGGGTATCCGTGCCCTGCTAGACGTTTACCGACAGTTCCTAGTAGTTTGGGAGGTCTGGACAAGTCAGTACACAGCGACGTATTCGTTCTGAGCCATGGTATACAAAACAGTATAGAACGATACCTGGCATCTTCCCCATGCACGTGGCTTAGCACTGACTTGACTCAGTAGTACTTTCATTGACCCTTCCATTGCGGGAGATCTAGATGTGGCGGAGAATAAACCAACTTCCGTCGTCCATCTTGACCCCTCTTACCCTTGTAGGTTTCTCTTTGAATGAAATTTGATTGGAATTGCTTCTATATCCTCCCGCTGTAACAATGGATATACGTATACATGTACTGAATTCAACAGCATTGGTATATGAGGGCAGAAAGAAAAAGAAAAAAAGAAAAAAAGAAAAGAAATAAAAAAAATTAAATAAATAAATAAATAAATAAATAAAATTAATAAATAAAATAAAATAATAGTTTGAAAGTTTAATGTGAACAATCATTGCATTGAGTGGATCCCGGGGGGGGGAAGTCTCCATCACCCGCGTTTTTTCCCGTTGCCGCAATCCATTGATGAGGTGGGGAAGGGTAATTTAGTCTATTATGTGTCCCCGACTTCCTACTACCGTCAAGCTTTGAGTACATCACATCACCAGTGTTCGAAAGGAATGGGATCCAGACACATCTGTGGGCGTGTGTATGTCGATGTACAGGGGATGTTTTGCACTGGATGCGGCTCTGTCACTTTAGTCACGCTTGCAATTTGACTTTTCAACACCCTTGTCATTGATGCGCCTTCAACTTTCAGGAGACCACCATTGATCTCGATGAAACAGATACAGCTAATGAGGTCTACTCGGGATGCACCACGTTCAATACACCAGGGTCACTTGAGTGTCGTAGCCCACCCCTCGTTTCAACCGTCTTATAAGTCAGCAAATTGAAAGGAAGAGAAAAGAAGAGATAAATCCGTGAAACGGCCAGCACGAGGCCATTCTCGGAGGCGGTCAACCTCTTCTTGGCAATCCAATCTGCTCGACACTGACCTAATGTATCCGTGCCCCGTTCACCAAAACAAAAAAAAGAAAGAGGGGATGACAATGTTTACTCCTTTTTCTTGATTATTAATTTTTCTTTTTTTCTTTTTTGGCTTCTTTGCAACAGGACCAGTCAATGCATGAACTACATAGCCTCGGAAAAATGACGGTCTGTCACGTTCACACCAAGTATCGGCGCGCAGAAGTGAGGCGGAAGGTCGAAGTAAAATGTCGTCGAATGTGGTGGATAGAAAATTAATTTCCTTCTTCAAAGTTCGAGATCTCGAACCCTCCCGGATTCCAGGATTTGCAGACCGACCTTTGGGAGCCGATGTCATTGTCGATCTGGTTGTCTGGGCTTTTCCCCGAAATTTCACACTCAGAACCCCCGTGGGTGGGTGGCGAATTCATTCCTCGAAGTGTGGCGGTGTACGTCAACTGTGGCTGATGACGTGGCTGGGTGAAGCTACGGGTAAACCAACAAACATGCATCTCTCTCCAACAGGAAGTACTAGTAGATCCTAGAGGTACAAGTCGTAGGTTCGTGAGGTGCTGTGGTAAGTTCATGGTAGACTAGCAACCTCTAGCTAGGCACAGGGTCTGAGACCCGTTGATGAAACAATCCATCCTATCGTCACGCCAATGGAAGCGTCAGAATTTAACCGGCGTTTATTCAACCCATGTCGTTGGGTGGTCAACAATTCCAACTGAGCATGAACAGATTTAGGGTTTATGATTGGCTACAATGATGTTCTTTTCTTTTTTTTTTTTTTTTTTTTTTTTTTTACAGAGTCGCGGGGTCGGCCGTAGTACTACTAGTAGTAAGTAGAAGACACAATTCCTAGCTGCGATCACTGCCACAATACTAGTCCTCTGACGGACTGTTACGGATACATCATACAGTCAACAAGCTTCCATCATGGGTGCATACACAGCACCTCCGTCGTGATAAGCTCCTCTTGTGTGCCTTGGGCGTTGATATTTTTTGCATAGCCCCATCCTCACACCAAGAACTTTTGGCGACTCAAGAACTACTCCAAAGAATGCAGGACTCTCGGAAAGTGAAGATCCCCTTTTTGATCATATGTCCCCCCATTTGGATCGACGAAGAAAAAAAGTCTTCCTCTCTCGAAAGTTCGGTTACTTGATATCGTACATACCTTTTCTCATCCCTACCGTATTTTTTTTTTTTTTTTTTTTTTTTTTTCCCTTCCTTTTTTTTTTTTTTTTTTTTGTTTTTTTTACTATTATTATTGTTGTTGTTTTTATTGTTTTTCCTTTTTTTTAAAAAATTAAAAACACCCCATTTCTTTGCCTTCCCTGCAAAATTATGTCACTCCCAACACACACGAAGTAGACATACATACCGCCCTCCGAGTCCAGACCTCACCATAGACCAAATCTACACCACCAAGTATCAAACCCATCAAAAGAAACTTCAAGCCCATCGCACTACTATCCACAACACCCACGTCTGATTTTCGATCATAATCCCTAACACCCGATGCTCTGGACCTTTTATTTCACGATCTAGACACGTCGACGACCTGGGAAAAGTGGGTCTTGCTGGTCCGGTGCATATCTTCGGGAGTTCTAGATAGTCGGTTTTTCATTTCTTTTGGTGATAGATAGGCAATTAATTAATATATGATATAATTGTTTGGGGGGTGAAGTGTGTTCTAGATCGTGGTGCATGGTTCCTATTTGATGCGTTCTTTAACTGAAGGGGGTTCTTGTGGTGATATCCTGCTGTGGCTGTAGATATATATCTCGGGATAGTTGCTCTTGTTGGGTAATGTTTGGGCATTGCCCACATGATGTTGTTACCTGCTTGATAGACTTGACGACGGTCTAGATTCCACCAACGGAAATGATGCGTTTCTATTTGTTGCTAATATACATTCATCGAGATTAATATAGTTTTGGATCGCTGAGCAGAAAGAATGACAGATGGGCCAGACACCGGCCCCAAACAGAACAGATAAATGCCAAGTCAACCGAAGAACTGTACGCCGTGGACATGCAGTTTAACCCTTCTAAACAGGATAAATATCCCCCAAAGAATAACAGACAATTGTGATAATATACAGGGCGTCGAAGAAGAGTGGCGTAAAAGGTACGTTAGAAACTGCGTGAGAGGAGATCTAAGATGTTGTTCCGAAGAGGCGGAGGATCACCTCGTACCTGTTGATAGTTAGATATGATGGCCGAAACCGTGCGGTCGAGAGCAACTTACATTCCGAACATTATGGCAGCGGACGGAACGACACGCAGCAGGTGCGGTGTCAAGCCGCCATACAACCCAACCATACCCTCCTCCTTCCAGACCGTCTGGAAGCACTGCACAAGACCGGTGTATTTCATCACTACCTTGCCGTCTCCAATGGACACAGTCGGCGCTTGCCTCAATCGCGTCCGGACAACCTCATGAGGGTAGGTGGCAGCTGCGGCGACCAGCTTGGCCAATCCTGCGGAACAGATTCGTCCACCCCATAGTTCCACATCATCCCAGGTGCCGTAGGTATAGTTGGGATCGGCACGCTTGGCCGACTCCCTGCGTGCAAGGAACATCTTCATCTGCTCGTACATCACCCATTGCAGTGTCGACTCTGTCACGCCGAGGTACGATGCCGAAAGTCCTTTATACAAGCCGCGGACGCCCTCGTGGCGCACCGTCTGTTTGATACAGTCCCAGCTGTTCTTATATTGGCGTCCCTGGCCATTATGGTGTTCGGCGTTGGACTTGTCTAACTGTAGGCGTGTCTTCACAAGCCAGATCGGGTTGGTGGCGGTTCCCGTGGCGATTCCGGCGACGGCAGCGGCGGTCAGATGGATTCCGACGGGTGTTTCTTGGGAGTTTGTATAGTTGAAATGATCACTCAAGATCCGTTTCCCGTTCCCGTATACGTAGAAGTTGATGGCACGAGCAGGCACCACCCCGATTAGGTTGGGTCCCAGACCCTTGAACAAAGCACGCCAGCCTTCATGCACGTGGATCGAGCGCAGAATTTGGAACGTTTCGTTGAAGTGCATAAGAGCACTGCGAGGCAGGGATGATAGCGATGTAGATGGCGGCAAGGGATGAGCGGCGCGGAGCGATCGCAGCTGCGCTTGGTAAAAGTCGGATTGCAATCGGGTTTTTAGGACATCAAGAGGAGAGGTAAGAGTCGCAGCGGTCATGCCACCAAGTCTGTATGGAACGAGATGTCAACCCATGCTACACAAGGTCGTATGGAAGGACGGGGTCATATTGTAGAGGAGTATATGCTTACCCACCAGCGACAAAATGGGCAAAAGGCTTTGCCTGGTCTTTTTTGTCGGTATTCCCAGCAGAGGGATGTGGGGGTTGCGGAACAACATCGCCGGTTTCCCTGGACTGGATAATTAAATCCTTGCCGATGTCCTTTTGGGCGTCGTCAACTGCCAGATGCGCCTGCGCAGAGCTGGTATGGGGAGTAGCGGAGAATGGCATAGCAGCCGCGAAGGCTAATCGGAACCGTAGATTAAGAACTATACAGTACAGAATAACAAAAATTAAAACATGGGTTGTGGATGTATCTAGGAATGAGAAGAGAATAAGAGAACGAGGGTCGTGTGAAGCTGGCCAGACAATTGTCTAGAGGTTACTTACTCCCTAGGTACTAGATTGACCGCGAGTGTCTTTTTTTTTTTTTTTTTTTTGCCATTGGCGGAGTTCGGGCGGCCTTCCGCTGGGAAATTTCTACGCTACCGATCATACTAGTAACTACGCCACATATATAAAGGCTATTACTTGCAACAGAGCAGATGATGTAGAATACGTGATAGAGTGTAGTACTCGAAATGGCTAGAACTGGATATGCTACGTTCCGCATACGTTTGGGTGAAGGCTTGGGTCATTCGCTGAGGAATTGACAGCAAAAGTGATCTTCAGGCCACCAGAGACTGGTTGTACTTTGCCAGGCAGATGTATTGTCATTGAAATAGCGCTATTTGGTGTGTCGTAAGTGCCCTGACTACAAGCGTAACTCGTGGAACACCACCACCATATCTCAGATCAGATTCCCACGCGCAAGGCAAGATTCCATTATTTGAGGATAGGGCGGGCGCAAGGCGTCCAATACTTGTCAAATTTAAAGTTCCGGAGCTGCGCGGATAAAGCCAAAGGAAGACAGGCGAATGCCCCAGCTGAGTTTGCTGAACAGGGAATCGAAATTTTGTTTTTTGTTTCATTCAGGGGAATCTATGCACAGGCTGAGTTGTGCTAGTACATCCGAGTACCCTTCTTCGCTTCGTCTCAATGCAAAATCCACCCTTAGATGGCAAAACCCAGAAACACCAAACAACCGCATCGACCTGACCATTCTATTCGTTTAGATGTGGGTGTCGTAGGGGATAGGAGTGATGGTCTCGGGGGCGGCGGCCTCGACGACGTGAGCCTCACGGGGACCGACGGGCTGGCGCTTAAGGTGGAGGTGGACACCCTGCTCCTTGGCCTGCTTCTTCTTCTCGGCGTTCTCCTTGACACGCTTGATGAAGTCCTCACGGGAACGGGAGTGCTTGACGTGCTCGATGCGGATGTTGACGCGCTTCTCGAGGTAGCGGTTGCGGACAACCTTGTAGAGGAGGACACCGACGGAGGACTTGGTGACGTTGTAGACAACACCGGTCTTACCGTTGTAGACCTTGTAGGGCATACTATTCCAGTCTCAGCAAACGATCCCACGCAATTTCAAAGGCAAATCGCAAATCCGCTTCAACACGGACTTGTCGCTTTTCAATGGGCGGAATAAACTGACCCCTTCTGAACGGCACCGTTGACCTTGATGTCCACGATGTCGCCAACCCTATAAACATATCAGATCCTGCACATTATACAAAACCACTTCCAATATTCGCGATAGGTTTCGGCGTACCGGTAGGTCTTCAGGTAGGTCGACAGGCGGATCTGGCCGTGCTCCTTGAAGTTACGGCTGAAGGCATACTATCACATCAAATTGTCGTCAGCGCACCCTTTCCCATCGAGCGGTACAATATCGTTGATTTCTTCATTCGCAAACATACCCGAGTGCCGGATCTCAAACCGTGAGAGTGACCCATGTCGGCGGTGTTGGTGGTGCTGGAATTGGGAACTTGTCGACAACGAAGTGCTTCACTCTGCCGCCCTTCCCGATGGTGTAGACTTCTTCGGAAGCTTTAGTGCGCCGTCCCGCTTATGGAAGGGCTGTAGCCCTAGGCCCTATTGCCTCTTCTAGTTGAGGGTAGCAGGACTAGTCTTAGTCAGGGCGATTAGGGTCTTGGGGCAGAAACCCTCTGCCACTAAGCCGGTTTCGACTCCACTACGATCCACTCTCGCTTATGCTCTAAAACGCAACTTCATCTTCGAAGCTCTACGATTTTCGTGTAGTTTGGTGTATCGACAACTCCGCGACAACGCGCAATTAAGCAGCCATGGCCCCCGTTCCGTGAGTACACGACTTCATGATGATGAACGCTGAGTCGCATCATTCTAATCGCTATTGAAATACAGTCGCGTCTACTCCAAGACCTACAAGGTCCCCCGTCGTCGTAAGTAACCATCGTCGATTTGAAATTCGATCACTTGTCAAGGAGGCCGTTCATATGCTAATATATCTATAGCTTTCGAGTCGGCTCGTCTGTTAGTACTCTCCGGCCACTGATCAGAAGCGTGCTTCTGTTTATGTCGTGTGTTCATGTTCCTAACTTGTTTTCACTAGTGACTCGGAACTGAAGATTGTCGGCGAGTACGGCCTGCGCAACAAGCGTGAGGTGTGGCGTGTCCAGCTCACCCTGTCCAAGATTCGTCGTGCTGCTCGGTATGCGCCCTTGGTCCATCGATACATGATGGGACTTGTCCGGACATGAAACTGACTGCAAGTTTAGTGAGCTGCTCACCCTCGACGAGAAGGACCCCAAGCGTCTTTTCGAAGGTAACGCTTTGATTCGTCGTCTGGTCCGTATCGGTGTGCTCGATGAGTCCCGCATGAAGCTCGATTACGTCCTGGCCCTCCGTGTCGAGGACTTCTTGGAGCGCCGTCTCCAGACCTGTGTCTACAAGCTTGGCCTTGCCAAGTCCATCCACCACGCCCGTGTCCTGATCAAGCAGCGCCACATCCGCGTCGGCAAGCAGATCGTCAACGTTCCCTCCTTCATGGTCCGTCTTGACTCCCAGAAGCACATCGACTTCGCTCTCACCTCTCCCTATGGCGGTGGTCGCCCTGGTCGTGTCCAGCGCAAGAAGGCCGCTGCTGCCAACGATGGTGGTGACGATGCCGCTGAGGAGGATGATGAGTAAATCATTTAAACCGGAGTATGGACGGGTTTCGTTTTGGAACATAAAAATGTGGGGCCTCAACTGTGACTGCAGCATAGCGTATGATGTTGTACGATCATGCCATTCAATGAATAAAAACATAGCCTTCAGGCTCATTTCGAAACCCGAATCTAAACTTTCCTGAGTACTTTTGTAGTAACGCATTATTGTACCCTCCTTTTTCGCACCATGATCACCGTAACGCCCATTCCCGATCATATCATATCGTAGCCATTGAAACCCTAGCCAAAGTGGATATCATCCTTCAATGCCCACTAGATGTTTGAGTGCTTCTTCTGCACTTCTGTACCATCTTCCTGTCTCCTCCAGTCCGTCGCTTTCTCCCTCTTGCTTTTTCCTCTCCGCTTCTTTAGCCTGGGTGATAGCCTCTGACTTCCGTCGTTCAAGCACACCCAGCTCTCGCTCCATTGCTTCCGCCTCTCGCGTCTTGCGAGGTAAAGCATTCTGTACTGCGGCAAGCTGGCGGTTAAGCGCAGCAAGTTCTGCCTCTCGCTCAGCAACAAGCGACAGAGTTGCAGGAAGCGGAAGGTTCTGGGAGGATGAAGCGTCTGAATTGGATGCCTGTTTGGCACGCAGTTCGGCAATCGTGGACTCTAGGTTCTCGATGGCTTCGGGCAAAGTAGAGAGTTGCGTCATCTGCATTTCAACATTGTTGTATCCTATTGTGATCACATAATTGTTAGTGTATCTTGCTTTCCCGCAGAGTTCTCGACCGGATTGTAGGTGGAATCGGGAAGTATCAAATGCAGCATCGCAGCATGAAAGACTTACGATTCGCAAGGTCTCGGCCTGTCTTCTCCATTTCTTCAATCATCATGCGGACTTCTTCTTTGCTTGCCTTAAGCTCTGCCTTCACCTCCGCTAATTGTGTTTCAAGTTCCACGTTCTCATTATGGCCGACTACCAGGGGAGGATCGCCGACGATGGCACGCAGGAACTTTTCCTTCGTCACTTGCTCGACATACGAGAAGCGTAATTTTGAGAAGAGTTCCTTCGCCGCAAAGATCAGTATGCGTATCTATTGCAAACAAACAGCATCCGCACCTTGTAGTGTGTTAGGTCGGCTTCGAGGGAAGCCGGTGTGGGGTTATCGATCGCAGAAGCATCTGAAGTGCGTTTGGACAAAGATTGACTCTGATTCCCGGCATCAGGCGAGAAGATCGGTTCGCTGATGCGAAGAATCGCGAGTTGCGATTTTAAATCTCCGCTCTCTTTTTGCAGATGCTGGAGTTGTTCCAGTGTTTCTGCGGGGTTAATCTCCGACATAATTTCGCATGCGATGCCTGTGTGGTAGTATGTTGCGACAGTGACAAGGTACAAGCCGATTGACTAGTATGTTCGAACTGGACCAGAGTGAATGCCAACGATAAGCCCCTCAATGCGCTGATTATTGTATCACGTCGGCAGAATATGCGGAGATAAACACAAATAGTGAGACCGCTGTAGGCGGTGAAGCTCCCCTCAGGCAAAGCCGGCAAGTATGACGGACTTATTCGCCATTCCCTTGACATCGCCGATCTCGTATCGGCGCAACAGGTGGGGTGCTCCTCTCATGCTTTGATTAGATTGTACAGTGCTACAGTTTTAATCGGTCCATGTCAATTTACTACTACTATATAACATATCTCCCCGTCCAGGTCAAATCATCCAGTGTACACACTACGTACCTCGGAGCTACGATGCCTCCCAACACTGGGAGAGCGAATAGCAATCCTGACGATGATGACTACGTTGCGCAAGTTCTCGCAAATGAAGCTCGAGACAGTTCTCTGAAGTACTCTGCCCTGGGGATGGGGGCTTATATGCCGAAAAGGTTGCTAGCCACTTCCACTGTGTCAAATCCCCCTAAGCTGACGAGTAGCTATCAGGCCTACAGGTGCTGCTCCTAAACCGAATACGCGATTTCTGCGACACATTATAAAAGAAACAGACAATCACAATCTTGCATTAAAGCGAAAGGAAGAGAGGGAAGCTAGAGAGCGAATGCGGCAGCTACGGAACCAGCCTGCTTCTTCAAACGATTCTAGAAAAGATGCCCATGGCCGCCAAACACGATCGGACGATCGCAAGTCGCGCAGAGATAGAAGGGAAGACCGTGAAGATAAACAGAGCTCCTATCGAAGAAGGCATAGAAGTCGTTCGGCTTCGGCGGACAGAGATCGCTCTCATCGACACCGGCGGAGGCGTGATTCTTACGGCGAGGATGAAGATCGACACAGATCTTCCCGAAGAAGTCATCGGCACCGTTCCTATTCCAGGTCGCGTAGTCGATCTCCGCAAGAGAATCGAGAAACGAAATCTCACAGTCGCCACCATCGGCGACGGAGGCGCTCTAGGTCACCTTCAAGGTCTCGTTCGCGATCGCTAGGTGCGAATGATCGACGCAGGAACAGAGATCGTGAGAACACACGTGTACGCAGTTCACGCGAGAAAGGCCCCCCAGAAAGGAGTTCTACGAGTAAAATCAAGGCGTCATCGCCGCTGCCCCCGGTAGCTACCCAAGATCAACAGCCAGGATATGAATCGGACCCTCTTGAAGACATTGTTGGGCCCCTACCTCTGCAGGCAAATAGCTCTACTGATGCTGCACCAATTCGTTCTCGAGGTCGGGGTGCCTATAGACTCAACATGAGCAACATTGACGCACATTTTGCCCCTGACTACGACCCTACTTTGGACGTGCAACTAGAAGATGACGATGAGAAAGCTAGTAGCAAACCCAGCCGCCGCCCTGTAGCCGGCCTCATGACTGGAGATGATGATTGGGAACTCGCTCTTGAAGCAGTTCGTGACCGAGCCCGTTGGAAGCAAAGAGGCGAGGAGAGATTGCGCGAAGCTGGTTTTGACGACGCGTTTGTGAATCAGTGGAAAAGCAACACTACACCTACCACCGGGGATTCTGAGGGTAGGCTAGAGGATGTAAAGTGGTCCAAGAAAGGCGAAGGTCGAGAATGGGATCGCGGAAAGTATGTCAATGAGGATGGGCATATTGATGTTAAGGCCTCTTGGTAGTGAGGTCCACAACATAAGCGTAAATTGGGTGGCGTTTGGAAGTTGGGATTATTACCATTGGGACTTATTTGTTTAATAAATACTTTTACACTTAGTACCCTCTCATGAATTATGATGCGATGAAGAGCATACATGGAACCCTATAACTAAACTCTAATCCTTCTATCATCCGAATGTGCACGAAAATATATAGCGAGGGACCCATAACAGAATACTAACTAAACGAACACCAACCACAATAGTATAAACAAACCTAAAGTTAAATTAGCAACCGCAAAAGAGCTCAGCAACCTAAAATAGACCGACAAACGACAAACTACTAAAAAAGAGGGGAAAAAATAAGGGTCTAGATCTGATAAGATCCCAGATCCATAGACAGGGCACCAACGCCAAGAAACCTTCTATTCCGCGTTTTTGTCAAAGTGCGGAACGAACCCCATGCATTTCTAATTGATTTTCAATATCACAAGAAATCCACATAATCACATCATTGGAATATATCAGCCGTCAAGAAATTGATTACCTACTTGCAAATCGATATATTACTAAATGCATACTACGTTACAATCTATTTGCGACAGTATCTTATAATAAACCCTGTATAGCGGACGGTTGTAATATCTTCCGCGATCTATATCTATTGTCTACTTCCCCTCTTTACTCGCTACTTTTGCCCTTCACTTTATCCTTTCTACAACCAAGAGTAACAACACAATGACCGATCAATTCGCCTTTGATTATCCCTCGCCTTTGGCGGGGTATGAGGGCTTGGAACCGTTGCCTGTGTAAGTATAGTATATTCTTATTGTCTTGAGGTGCAAGATAACCTGGTATATTCTATAATGAGACTAACAAAGGTCGTATAGAGAATTAAATGAAGATGGCAAATCTATCAAGAACCCCCAGCACGGTATCTTAAGCAAAGCATACGAAGAATTCCCCGATCCGCTGGCAAAAGATCGACGCGGGGGATTTGATGTCCATATCTATCATTTCCAGGTTCGTTTCTTTCTATTCATTTACCTATCTACCCATATCGCATAAACCGAATGAGTGATCATCACTGACATGGTCATAACCAAACAGAATAATCCTGACCAAGTCGCATACGCAAGGGCTCTTTACGAGCGAATTCGTCGTGAATGTATAACCTACCTACTGTTTTTCTGTTTCCGCGCGCTGTCATGAAAGACAAGTGGTTACTGACTTCAATACCAATAGTCCCCGAGCTACGCATCTATCGATTTTTTGAAGGACCACTTGGACCTCACCCCATTGCCATGTTCGAAGTTAACCTTTTCACTCCGGCGCAGTTTGGAGCGTTTATTCCCTGGCTTATTATTAATCGGGGACCGTTGAGTGCGCTGCTTCATCCAAATACAGATGAGGAGGAGGAGGAAGAGCGGAACCATACGCAGCGGGCGACATGGTTGGGGGATAAGATTCCGTTGGATTTGAGGATTTTTAAGTTGATGAAGCAGGCGGAAAAGAAAAATAAGCAGAATGGGAGTGCTTTATGAAGCTTGTTAGAGGGGTCAGTTAGGTGTTTGGTATCTGGGAAGAATTCTAAGGGAGGGGTCTGTTTATCTGTTGGTTGAATTTGGACTTTGTGTATATATGTTATGGGCATGGATTATATTGAAAGCTTTTGCGCATTTGACAGGACTGGAATGTCTGGTGGGATGCTGTTGTAGGGTATTAATCGGATAATATAGTACCTGAGGTCAGTAGGCATACTTTTGGATAGGCGGGTGATCACTGCAGGGATGGCGGGATTCCTGATGAGATCACGGGATGACCAACGTGACCTGTCGGTCACAAGCCACGTTCGACCTCGGATTCTATTCATTGGGCATGCTTATGTTGTCTCATGCAGAAATAACTTTGGCTAGTCGCGGAGGGCTGAGAGAGTCTCCGAAAATCAGACTGCAGTGAGATGAAGATCCTGATAAAAAGATAAGGTCCGATCTGACCAGCTCTGGGCCGTGCGTGGTCTCAGAGCATGAATGCATTGGCTTTGGCACCTATCAGTTAGCCGATTTATGAGACAGGAGTGAATCAATCGGATGCGATGACCCGGGATGCTGAAGGTAATCGGAGGGTCAGCTGCGGCAATGCAATCTGCATTACTTTCCCACTTCAGTTCCTATGACGGGTTATTGAACCCGATCTCCCGTGACCGAGTCCGAGGGGAGGTTCAAAAGCTTCTTAAACTCGGGAGGCACGATGTTACTGAAGGAAAGAGCGATGCGTAGGAAAGACGACCTGGAAATGTTTGACTAGCCCAAGGCACGTTTACCTTAGCGACTAACTCTCACCTTATACCACTGGGGTCAAGATGTGGTATCCAAATCTCTCGTGGATTTCCTCTCTCCAAATCTCCGTACTTGGCGTGATACCTCATCCCGCAGAGACAACATTCTATATCTCTTCACGGGATGTGGCTGCAGCAACAGTACCGAGTTATGTATTGGAATATGGTGAGTCACGCAATATCTTTTACGCACAATATTCTAACAACTTGTTAGCACCGATGGTCTGGTTACATGGCGAGGAGGCATACATGCCCTCTGACATCGGGGAGCAGCTTGTACACACCACGCCGATGGTGGATTGGAAGCCTATCGAGAACGCCCCGTCGGCGACAACTCTTGAAAATCTTGACCAGCTCAACAACCTTGGCAACACAAGCGTTTATTTAACTTCAAAGGAAGGAATAGATGCTGACCCTCAGCCTTCATGGCTCAGGGGTATCAAACCTGACCAAGACGGTCGAACGCAGGATGCAGTCTCTTCAACCATCATTCTTCGTGACCACGGAGATGGGACCCTGGATGCTTTCTATTTCTACTTCTATGCGTGAGTGATATTCGCATATCAGTGCTGATTCACACCACACTCACCATACCGTAGGTATAACCAGGGAAACACAGTTTTAGGAATGGAGTTTGGGGACCATATCGGAGACTGGTTAGTCATAAGGTCAAAGAGGCAAATCGATTTCAGAAACTGATGTGGTCTCGACAGGGAGCATAACATGATACGGTTCTCCGAGGGTGTCCCACAGGCAATCTGGTATAGCCAGCATGCCTCGGGACAGGCGTTTACGTATGGAGCAACGGAGAAAAACGGCAAACGGCCGATTGCATATTCAGGGAACGGTACCCATGCTAATTATGCCATTTCTGGGTATACACCCCTATGCATTTTCCCGTGTCCTAGATAATATGAGGCTAAGGCTTGACTCAGGAAACATGACCATACTATTCCCGGCTTCAATCTCCCTGATGGACTGATCGTGGACCAAACTGATTCGGGTACACTGTGGGACCCGACTCTGAGTGCCTATGTATATAAATATGATGCTTCTGAGGAAACATTTCAGGCCTATGACTCTGGATATCCGGTCAACTGGTTGAATTTCAACGGCCAGTGGGGAGACGATGCACTGCCGGGAGGGCCGGAACTGTTTGGACAGAAAAAGTACGTTGCGGGGCCGAATGGACCGAAATTCAAGAAACTGGTGAGGGACAAAGTGTGCCCGATTAGCCCATGTGTCGTTCTGCCTTTCCGGATCTGGGAGAATCAGACGTTGGAAGAGCAAGGACAACGAACGGAGTCAAGTTAGCATGGACGTCGGATCGACTGCCTTTACAACGGTCATTGTGCATAGGCTGGATGTGGGGACCTAATCTCGGGGATTGTGACCCTGAACGGACATGTTGAACATGTTATATAGTATTCGCTCTTTTCATTTGTAGAAGCCCAATGGACCAATTTCAATTGTGTCACATATGATGGGGATCGACGCGACAATTTGCGATCACAATTAAATGCCAGCCACCCAATGGACCACCGTTATTCCTTCGTTAATTAAGAACCACTACCTAATGTTTAGCGCTGCAAATAAGATTACATGGAAGTCTCTATCTAGCCCTTCCGGGCATAGTGTCATATTTTCCTCCCACAGTCACCTCAGGCGTCTTCTGGACTGTATTTGGAGTACGGAGTATCATCAGGTGTGAGAGGAGGTCTCTTTTCTTTCGCAATGAATCACAATCTGATACGTCAACTGCTCTATCATATGAGCAGTCAATGTTGGGGTTGATAAATCCTCGCTCCACCTGAAACCGTTGCATTTGATTCTAATGATCAAAGGTATTTCAGCCTCCACACTAATATGGATATTCAATCATGTCTACTACTGAGATATGTACAGATAGTAGGTTCTTTGAATGCTGAGAGATTCGCCCTTACAAATAACAGCATCCAATTAGTCAAAAACTTAGGAGTTATGCTTAGTCACCGTTGACTAGGTATCCCGTCGAACTTATCGCCTGACCGGTAGCTTCGTCATCTTGTCTATCAGAAATAGATTACAGATAGCGAGGAACCAATGCAGTCAGCCCTGCCTCATGGAACTGAGGGCTCCAGAATAAGCCTTGCCAACAGGATTCCGATATTTAACGAATGTCTTGGCTGTAGTTATTTTGAAATTGAACAAAGCTGATAACCCTCACTTATCGCCGAGAGCCCCATCTGTTTGCCTTATTGACTTTTTCATCTTTACATGAGTTGGGCTACTACAAGCCTGAGACAAAGAATCGGTCACTATCTGTACGAAGAATAGCTATCGCCTGGTGTATCCTCTCCGAACGGAAGTGATGTTCCATCGCGGGGAGGACCAGCTCGCGGAGGATCGATTCGGGAACCAGACGAAACCGCACAAATTCTGTCCTAACTGCGGGACATCTGTTTTGATAAACTTCAAGGAGTCCCCGTGTGAGCAAGAAAGAGAAAGGATGTTAATTAATGGAGATTGTTGTTTCAGAACCCGGCTTTGCCTTGCTTGGTACGCTTCTGTTGTCAGTGAGTGTACTTATGGAGTTCTAATGGAGTTCCAGATCCACACGATTCGAGGTATTGAAGATGTTTTGGACGAATTAGACTATCGGGCCGTGGACGGGAAGAATAGACTTGGGACCTCCGTATTCCATAGGAGCGGATGTTCGACCGTCACCATGGCCATCATTGGCATTGGGATCCATGGTTCATTTGCAGGGGTCAAGTTCTGAGGAGTGAAACCTTGTAGGGAAATTGCATCACGAGGGCGATGGGACTCTGAAGTGTAATTGGCAGCTTCAACCTACGAGTGAGTCGTTAGTTTGGAACAGCTCACAATGTGGTTCATGAGAAAAAGCTCCGAACTGGAGCCAATTAAACGTGGGTTGCCAGCTAATTTCGGTTCTTACGGTATCAATACTCTCATGTACTGATTGATACCAGGTTTCAGGACTCGATCCATGCTTTTGTTCCGGTTATACAGGTCCATGGATTTGGATCGATTGAATTATGATTTCTATAAATTTGCTTTAAAAATGGAGCATTTCTGATTAATCCACCGCAGGGCGGGCGGAGATGCATGGCATCTGCAGCGCCCTCACGTTTAATGAGCTGAGGGACGTCACATATCCACGTGTGGACATTGATCATCAATTGATCCGAAAAAAGGGTGCTTTAGTCTTTAGTCTGAAAAGACGGCCGAGATGTGTACCTTACGTAATACCGTATCGTAAGTTATGTTAACTATGGGCGGTATGGATCTTTCCATGGATCAGAGGTACTTACTGTATGTCTGTACCTATCCATCGTTTGTTTACTTTCAGATACTCGGTAAGTATACCACGAGAAATCCCACGGATGAGGTAAGTTGAATGAGGATCGCCTATGGCATCAATGGCCTGGTTCGCTCGAAAAATGTTTGCCTCCAGGATTCTCAAGTATAGCTATGATCCTGGATCCATGTACAACACCCCCCTTTTTCAATCGCAGAGCTCTTCTAGAGTTGAGTCCGGAGGGTACTTCTGAGTAACTTTACTGTAATCGCAAAACCGGCTAGTGTCCCCCGACGACAAGAGCAAAAACGGCAAGCACTTCATCCACTCAGAAGCATTGTTCGGCGCCCAACCTAACCTAAAAGGCACTTAGAGCAGTGGGGGAATTCTGGAAAGCCTGCAGCTTTGCTTTTGCGTTGCCCCTGAATCGCTTCTCCGCCGTAGTGAAAAAAAGGTCCCCGTCCACGAGGGGAAAAAAGAAAAGAAAAGAAACAAACAAAGAATAAGAGCTCCAACATCGGTGAGCTCTGGCGTTCCGACGAGCTGAACAGTTACCACACAGGCAACCTGGACCTGAATTCGCGTGTGCTCGCAGAGCGAAGCAAAAGTGGTCCGCGGATATTGGCAGATCGGATAGAGGAAAAGCATTGTCCTTCTAATATCCGTTCTCAGGCCGATCATTATCAGTCGTCTAACATTCTCTCATTTCGCTTCGTCCTTTCCACTATTTCTCTTCAATCTCAATTTCTTTCCCCCTTTTCTTTGCGTTTCATATTAATGCGCCGCTTGAATCGGACGCTGTGAGCAGGCTTCTTCACAACCTTCTTTTGGGGGTTTTTTTTTATTTGCCTCCTTGGAGCTAAGCTCGAAGTACAGGAAAATAAACTAAATTCAAAAAAAAAAAGGAAAAACGGAACAGCTGTGGTTCGTTTGAGCTATAGCTTCACCCCCAACAATCGCTTCGATAGCGTATAATTTGGTGTCCTCTAGCAGAGACATCAGGCCTGTCTCAACAGACACTTGCAGGGCTTGTGGATGTTGATCGGTCGTCAACCCCAATCTAACGTATTCGGACATTTATCGATTTTGGAGGTCGCCGCTGAATCGTTACCGCGCCATTTGAAGGACTCTTCTCACGAGAAGAAAAGCTGGCGCAACGGAGCTCCAAAACACATACATATACTTAGCTAGATTGATTTGAGTGCGGCTCGCGACAGCAGACCGTTCCGGGACCTGTAAGTGCTTACCGTTTAGCTGGTTGATCGTCGTATTTTTAGGAGCAGGACTAAAAGAGGGCCTGTTCGTATGCAATTCGATGTCCCTTGACAATCCCGTGAATGAGGCTTCGAAAGCATTGGCTGACTTTTCTACTTTACTGGGGAAGTTGCTAGGTAACGGAGTTGACCAGATCCAGTCCCGCTCACGATAAATAGCACATTGAGTGAATATTGGCAAAAGGGAATCTTTTATCTGAGACAAGCCATTCACAGTTACCCCACTTTTGCGCCAAAGTACCTCCGAAACCCCATCCGTGTTACCAACGATCGGGCGATTGGAAAGAGCCACCCGAAAAATAAGACCAATGGCTACTGCAACTTCTGGGCTTCGTTCCCCGGGACACCATGACCCCTCCGATATTGACAACGGTAATACCAACAAAGATCAACGCAGAAATTCCTCTTTAGGTTTCCTCCGTCGCCCTAAGTCCATAGAACCACTCGGAGGCAAGAGCAAGAAGAACTCCAAATCCCAAGCAACCGAAGAGGAACTACGTCGACAAGGAGCAATGTTGAAGCAACCTCCTCGCCTGCCCTCCCTGTCTCCCGCCCCAATTCTGGAGAGTTTTGGAGGCGAAGAGCGAGGGCACGTCAATAACGCTGCCACGCCTTCGAACAGCACCCCCTCACCCCAACTACAGCAACCGCCCTCTCGCAACTCGATGAGTACCGACTGCGACCCCTACGCACGCACAGAAAGCATGACGCACCGCGGGCGTTATAGCTATGCGAGTAGTGCCGTCAGTACCGTCAACAACCCGCGTAGGCTGCGTCGGCGTAAGGACCCTACTCCGTACAAGTAAGGCCCTTCCTACTCACATCCTTCACCGCAGACCCAGATTAACTGTTCGCACAGTGTCCTTGTCATTGGCGCCCGTAATTCGGGAAAAACCGAGTTTTTGAATTTCCTGAAAAAGTCTTTGGTCATGCCAGCCCACAAGCATCCCTCTCGCCCCGCCGAGGAAATGGAATACCAAGATCGACATGCGCCTGCCAACCAGGGCTACACGTCTGAATACCTTGAAACGGAAATCGACGGGGAACGCGTCGGGCTAACGCTGTGGGACTCTCAGGGATTTGAGAGAAACATTGTCGACATCCAGTTGCGTGGTGTGACCGGCTTTCTTGAAAGTAAATTTGAGGAGACCTTGAGTGAAGAAATGAAAGTCGTTCGTTCACCCGGAGTGCGGGATACCCATATTCACTGCACATTCCTGCTCCTCGACCCCGTACGCTTGGATGAGAACATCGCGGCCGCAAAAAGGGCTGCCCAAGGAACCCCCAAGGCTTCAGACTCGCCAGTCATTGGTGTTTTAGATGAGAATCTCGATATTCAGGTGTTGCGAGCCGTATTGGGCAAGACCACGGTGGTCCCCGTCATCAGCAAGGCCGACACGATTACTACGGCACATATGTCATATCTGCGGAAGGCGGTTTGGGACAGCCTAAAGAAGGCCAACATTGACCCCCTTGAGATCCTCACCTTGGAGGACCAGGAGGAGGAATACACGTCTTCAGAGAGCGCTGACGAAGAGGAAGAGACACCTGAGAACGCTGGGGACGACACGAAAGAGCCCGGCTCACCCTCCACCAGGAGTCAAGGGTCGGGAACGCAAGCTTCGCCGCAGATTCTGCCTTTCTCTATCCTGTCCCCCGATCCCCACTCGTTGGAGGCCGGTGACGAGCCTGTCGGTCGTAGATTCCCCTGGGGGTTTGCGGACCCTTATGACGCTGAGCACTGCGATTTCGTCCGGCTCAAGGAGTCCGTCTTTAGCGACTGGCGTATCGAACTGCGCGAGGCCAGCCGGGTAGTCTGGTATGAACGATGGAGGACAAGCCGCTTGGATCGGAAGACTCCCGTCCCCAGTACTGGGCCCTCGAAGAAGGTGTATGCTGGGAGGCTGGGCCCCCTCGACCAAGGCCCTCGAGTACGATAGTGGCCCTCTGACTCTTCCTGGATGCCGTTGGCGAATGAAGTGTTCATTTATGATGTGTATTCCCATACGGGTACCAGCCCTCTCTTTACCTGCCGGATGCACGCGACCTCTGGGTCAGCTCTCTCTCCACCGCTAGTTTGGAAGTCTGGTTCGACCGAGACAAAACAGCCCGCTGCGTGCTTCATGGTACTATCCTCACTTTCTATCCTTTCTTCTTGTTTTCTTATTTTCTTTTTCTCTCCCTATCATTCTTGTACGTGGGACAAACCGAGCTCCACAAGGAACGCCCCTAGGCAAGCCAGATGGCCGACGTGAAGATGACCTTTCCTGTCTGAAGGATTCAGGGGAAACGGGATACAGCGAAGCATACCTGTATTTTCTCTTCCGGGTTCCCCATCTACTCCATCATTTGTCTTTGGTACAGTTTCTACTGGTTCCGTTTGCCTTGAAAGCATAATTGACAGAAGCGGGTTGAATTGTGTTCCTGATATCCCCATTATGTGATGCTCTGTTGACGCTCCTTATACCATTTATGTTCTTAGTGATATTACCCCTTGATGTTTCGACGTCTTTGATTCTGAGCCCCCGACCGCGACCTATGGTTTTGTTTCTTTTCTCGACGTATTCCCCTGTCGATCATTTCCTTATCCTGGTTACTTTGAAATCCAATTTTGCCCTTTTCCCCCTTACTTTCAGGACCTGTATTCTTTTGACGTCCATTGGTTCCCGTGTTAACGCTTGCAGCCCTCTATTGCTCTGCGGAGAGGGGTGGTTTTGAGAATGGGATCATCTGTACCTTTAAAGATTTTGATTCTTTCATTTTGCGCATGTCGCGAGCTTTGCTTGATACCAACCAAATTGTCATTTGTCGGCTTGAGTGTGTTACTTCATTCTCGGACCTAGAAGCTCACGTTGGAGTCCCCGGGGATACCCGCAAGGTAGGTAGCCGTGAGGTGGGTACGTAGTCAACCATGAAGGAGATGTAGCACTGTTGCCTATGGGGAAGGTCACGTAGAAATAGGGGGCTACGCAACGTGGTACCGTTGAATGTGCCTGTACGATCCAAATATATAGCTGCCCATAATAATTACTACTCGTGAGTAGGTCGTATTCAGGATGCACTACAGAATGCCCTTGGATCCACACAGTCAGCGGCAGGTCCGAGGGCCAATGACGGGCGGGGATCCAGCGGCAACTCCGACAAATCAGCCGTGTCCAGAGTGAAGTGGGGAAAACCTACTTCCCTGCCTAAGGTACCTCAACACTACTCCTAGTACTGGAAAGTACTAGCTAGTCCTGCTGTCATTCGTGAGATTTGACCGCCTGGCCAGTGGGTTTTGGCACCAATTCCCGTCAGCTTCATAGGATGCAGTAGCTCTGGTGCGGCTCCAAGAGGCGGTAAGCCTTGATTCGTCCTTGTTCAGTGCGAGGATTCGAACTGCTCCTCTGTCCATGATCTAATGACCATGAGGCGCATCTTTGCTTTTTCTTTTTCTTTTCCCTTATTCTTGTTGCGTTCGAGGAGGCGCCGCGCCATGAGACCATTCGATTGCCATTTCACCTGAACGGGGATGCGACCCCGATGATCCCTACTGAACTAGTTCTGATTATGTCCATCAGCCTCGGCCACAACAACTAATTTAAATTCAAAGATACTACTAGTGGAGTGTGCCTGGTGACTGGCGCTTCCATCGCGCTCTCCTCATTTCCTGACAGTTTCCCCTACCATTCATTGCCCACGCATTATCCCGCAGCCAATAACTAACCCATCTCCCCCGGCTATTCTGTTCTCGCTGGTCTGAATATATTACCGTCGTTCTGATATCGTATCTGACCCTGCCCGGGCTCAACAGCACCAATTTAAGCTTGAAATAGCGCGGGGTGTTGAAAAGTCGTCAGCTTTGGGTTGGTCCCTTGCCGCGATCGCTGGTTCCAGTCGCTTGCCATCCATGTCTCTCCAGGCCGACGACCCACGGTCGCGTGGCCGTTCCAAATCTCGACAGCGCTCCAGTTCGCGCGCTTCTGCCCTGGGGAATACGTACCTGTCTTCCGAACCCGCAGACGAATACCTGCGAGCGAGATCAAGGAGCCGTGGCTACCGGACCAGCGCCAGCCATCTTCCCGCTGGCCCAGATTTGGGTCACTATAATTATTTACGCGATAATACTGACCCCTCGCGGTCCCCCAACCTTCGTCCGGTTCGCTACGATGCTCCCCCGGATGATGTGTACTCGGAGTCGGAGGACGAGGGATTGGCCTATGGGGACATTCCTGATGGATTCGAGCGCAGCTACTATGGGTACATGGCTACTCCCCGGACCTCGTCATCTCAGGTCAACGGTGCAATGATGTCCGGCGCGCTGAATGGAGACAGGCGTGCCGGAAAGGAGCCCACCTCAGGACGCTCCAGCGAGGAAGCGCTTGGCGGTCATCCTAGCTACGCAAAACCGGGCGCGTTCAAATATGCGACGCCCGGTCAATACCTTCATGCGCAACCGGAATGGGCGCCTGTTCCAGAGTGTGAGCGCCCAGGGTTCGTACCACCTTCGTCGCAAGCCGACGAACAATACATGCCGGGTGCGTTCCCACAGCCGGCGACAACCGCAGCGCCGGCGTTTCCGATGCCTCAGTACGCGAACCTAGAAGCACAGTCGAATCCTTATCCATCATGGGGCGGTCGTCCCGTCTCGATGTCTGGTCCTCATGCGTACGCTCCCAAGGTCAGTTCCCCGACCCATAAACGCGCCGTATCAAGCGACACCACTGCGCAGACCCCGTACGCCAACCCGCCTACTTTCCAGTACGCGCAGATCGGCCCGAAAGTTCAATATACCTCTAAGGGCGCATCGAAGCAGCCTGTTTCATATACCGCGACACCTCAATACACGAAACCGGGCGAGACAGACAGGGGTCAATCGTCGCAGCACGCAAACGTCAAATACTCCGCCAATCCGCAGTTCTCCAAGACTCCTTCCAGCCGGCCGGAGAGCGGACAGCAATATGTCGAAATCGTGCCCGGTGACCGGACGGGCACTCGTCCGAAGAGCCATTCCGTCTCGGGCAACAATCTGTCGGTCGCAGGCCCCGATCCCGGCCTTCGACCGGCTAGTCCGATGCTGGAGCCATA